CCAATATATATATATATATATATATATATATATATATATACAAAATGACGATAAAGTATCAATGAATGAATAAATATACATAACACGACAGCAAAACATGCAACACATTCATAGTCAAGTGGTTAGTCAAGTCTTGGGTTCGAGTCCCGGTGGAGAATAATGTTTTACTTTCTTTTGTCCTCATCATCATCGTCACTACAATCACCATGATAATCATTATCAAAATTAGAGGCAGCATCTTCATCGTCGGTGTGTCGTTGTCGGATCATCATCATTATCATCATCATCATCATCATCAACATCATCATCAACATTATCATCATCATCATCATCATCATCATCATCATCATCATCATCATCATCATTATCATCATCATCAAAACAACCGTGTCCAAAATTCAAAACAGCCTACTAAATTAAAATAACAATCCCTACTGGATGAGTCTAGAATGAATACACCCGAAGAGAAGATGATGTTAATTCTAACAACAATGATATCGTATAGGACTTCGTAAAAGGGAAAGTAAGATAATAATTATGCGTCTAACAGGGGGATTCTTATATCAATGATTTTCTTTTTGCATATTTTTTTTTTTTTGCAATTTTTTTTTTTTTTTTTTTTTTTTTTTTGAAAATCATTATTAGAATTAACAATTCAGTAGTAGACAAGAGACTGTCAGTTATTTGTTCAAGGTCGTCCTCAGACGCGGAAACTAATCTCACCTATGCACCTTTCACTAATTACGAGCGTAGAATAATCGAGCTATAGAATAATCACATATTTAAATTATTCATAATTCGATTTTCGATTTTTATTACTGGAATTTTGTCTGGACCTTAGGCCTTAGGATGGTATTTTTTATCTGATCGATAACCGATATGTCTGATATTCCGCGTAATAAGGATATATTTATCTAAACTATATTTTTGGTTAACTTCCTTGTATACTGTAATCAATGAGAGATCAATGTATAGTGATTGATACCTCAAGAACTTGTCGACAATGTTTATAAAACAGAGGCGTGCGTCGAACCAAAGGATTATACTGCAATTTAAGTTGAATATTTTTTTTCAAAGTCATAATGAACACAATTATAAAATTGAAGTATCGGAAGTAAACCATTAACCATTTGTTGGTTGTTAAGCCCTACTGTAGAATAGGCCTAATGTAATTTATTTATTATTTATTTATTCATTTGTATTTATTAGACGTTATTGTAAACTGTTTCTGAGGCTGGTACTCAAGCGTGGAAATTTTGACCTTTGCGTCGATCAATATACACAGCGAAATTGCAGCGGTTATAGACGTCAGAAAAAAAAATACATATCTTAAACGTACTCATCATCCGATATCAGTGATATCGAATCACATCTTTACAAGGTCTCATATTTTTTTCTAACTATGCATTTCCAATTCCGCGTAAAAAGGATATTAATTTCCTGGTATACAAAGTGGATATTTGTGAAGTTGGCTCAAGAAATTGGTCGAAAGAAGGTTTAACAAATTCGACATGGGTTCCAACATAAACGGCTCCTAGTGCCGACGGTCAAAGTCCCGGGATAAAACCCCAGGTGGGGAAAAGATTTGATATAGGATGGGATCCGGTTAAAATTGTGCTTAGTCTACAGTAAACCAGCAATCATAATAAATTTACTTGTCCAAAGGGTGAAGGGAACCCCCCCCCCACTTCTGACACCTACTGGCGTCACCACTGCCTGTGAATTGTAATAATTAAGTCATGAATTCGAAAACGTCTGATTGAGGAGAAGAAAATACTGTAGTCTGTTGATTATGAATTTTATTTTGTATGACAAGAGTCAGAGTTCGGTGGTGACTAATTGCCAGTGGCGGCGCTACGGGCGGGGAGGGGGATAGGAGGGGCTACAGTAATATGCTTGCTTCTCCCCCTCCCCCGTCGGGGAAGTTGGCAGAGATTCATCGGCGGGGGGCGGGGGGAGGGGGAAGAGGGATAAAAAAAATATTTTAAAATGTTTATATCAAATGTTGGCCTGAACTGGAAAGGCATAATGTTTTTGACGCCGATTAGGTAATTAGGTCAAAATTCCCTGTATGAGCGTCTACTAGCGACTTATTATTTTTGTTTAACTTTCTCATTGGAGAGGGGGAACACCCCTGGGTCGGGCCACCACTTATAATTACACTGTAAACCAAGAGACAAAAATCCTACCATTCCTAACATTTTATATCAGTACCATGTCGGGCATCTGACGGATACGGGCTGCGGTCGAGGTGAGAACAATGAGCATGTAATTGAGGGACGTATGGGAGACAGGTCTAAATCTACAGTGATAGATACAATTGTAATACAGAACCTTTCTTTAGGCTATGGATTTTCGGTTATTTCTTAAAGTGTGAAGCAAAAAATTTAAAACAATAAAAAGCACTAAGACTTACATTATAATTATGATCATTAAGATATTAATAAATATAATTTCAGGTCTACAAATATTATTTATCCAATTTGCTAAATAAACAATTGCCCTTCGTTGGCTCACAATCATCACGAAACGAGAGTCCTTTATGGTACTGACAAGTCGGTTTGGATATTTGTATAATATTATTGTACAGTATAATTTCCATGATATACAGAGGCCGACGTGCGGATTTCCTTTAACCTCACCGACTATCGATTAGTCAAAGGAAAGCCGATAACCACATGTACCACCAATCAAAGGTCTAGACCTAAATATCTATATAAATTAAATAAATCAGCATAAATTTTATAAGAAGTGTATCCTTCGAGGTATATATAACTGGTACGACCGATGATAATCCATCATGATATCTGTCTTGATACAACTTTACCAACGGATAGACTTTAAAACATCATACAGTACTCGAAAAAAAAATAATGGTGATCGCTAATGCACGTCTAGCCTACTTCCGTCGAGCAAAGATTGATCTATAAACTGTCGTGACATGTTAGGAATTCAAACATCAAAATTGTACGGTAGCCGCGTTTTTCTATTTTATTTGCCGTGACACTTACGGGCCACCGTAGAATTGAGGAAAAATGACAAACAAATCAAACTTAATATCAGTGACAGACCTAAATTTTCATGGACTTACATCATGATGATGGGTAGATCTAAAGTCCATTAATAACTTATCGCAATATGTTATGCTATAGCCTACTCGCATATTTCCATTTCCACAAACAAGGCTACACAAGCACACGCACCCACACCCACACATCTAATCCTGGTTCGACCTGTTCGTAAAACTAGACCTGGGTACACACTACGCCCCAATGGTATATTGGATGGAGAACGTATTGTGACAAAGTGCGAAAAAACGGATCGCTCTGTATTAATATTACTATCCCCTAATACTGACAGCGACAACCAGAGACGACGCCACGTCGTCAAGCTTAGAAAGTGGAGAAGGCTTCGTCGGGTGAAATCCCGGCAGGGGAGGCGCTAGGTATCGCCCGACGGAGGGCCGAGGTCCCCGACGGGGGGGCCGATGCCCAGACGAGGGGTCAGATTTCCCCGACGAAACCAAAGTGGGCGTGGTCGAGCTTCGATTAAAAGGTTAGGAAAGTGGTCCTGGGAGCGAATCCCCCGACAATTTAGGGGTTTCAAAGCTTATTTAATCGATTTTAGAGTCCAATAATAGGCCTATGTAGAAAATATAATTGTACTTTTTCTCCCCGACGGTGGGGACCAGTCCCCCGCTGGCGCCACCCTCAATCCCGGCCGGTGGCGACACTAGTGAGGGGAGAGTCATCCCGTCTGGTAAAGCTCCTCACCTCCAACGTCGGGGAGAAAAACCACGATTCGTCTTAGAGTAAAACATTTTATATGTATTTCTACGTTGACTCTAAAATCGATTGAATAGGCCAAGCCTTTGAATCCATTAAACTGTCATATTCTGCGAGGGGTTTGCCACCTGGACAACTTGTATTATTTAAATGATTTTGAGAGAGGCCCGACTACACCTACTTTGCTCTCGCCGGCAATCACTCGCCTAGGGACAGCTTCTACCCCCCCCCCCCCCCCCCCCCGCCCGTCAGGCACACCAGCTGCGCGACCCCTGATCCAGGCGCAGTCGAGTCCGGCTTAACTCATTTGGATTCTTGCAAGATTTTCTAGTTAGCTCAAGAAAAAACACGTTCCGGTTCAATGATGAGGGAGGACGAGAAATGTCTTTATATGACCTATGGGAGAACTTGATGTCGGAAATGAAGAAATATGTTAATAATTGATGAATGAAACATTAAAAATTCAAACTGTATGGCGATAAAGTTTACGGATGATAAACCTATCTCCTACCGCTTTATGATTAGTAAAGACACGACCTTCAAAGTTCACTGAGATACGACACACCTTTTTATATTCCTGTCGTTCTACCCATACTTAAGCACATGTCAATAATTAGTGATTTAATAAGATCCCTATAGTTATATTTAAGTCTACAATTTTCTAATAGGGCTTAACATATACAATTCGTATGAATTTGACACATTCATATTTACGCTTTAGAGTGTCATCAAGACAGTAAATGTAATTAGTTAACAAACAAAAAAAAATCAGATAATTTTAGGCGCAAAACCTCCGTAAAACACTTTTTTTTACATGTGTCAGAAATTCATGATTTTAATATTAATCAATCACACGCATGAAGCGTATGGTACTACTGATATAATTCGAGCTTAACCTACCTGAGTACCCTGAGTAAAATGGGGATACCGACACGTATACGTACACACACTTTTACTACAATTCACAGAATAGCAGCATTCACAACAGCAACTGACGTACTGAATTGGTACGTCTCGTACTGTTACAACTGGGATGTAGGTGAGGATACACTTAATTCATAACAGCAACGCTGATTGGATGGTGCTAAGCACCTGGATGAAGCAGAATCAGGCGGCAATTAAATTGGAATCATTTTTAAGCAAGATTGTTCAGGTGCTAAATTTAATATATGATCAGGCTATTTCGCAACCTTTTCATGCTCTATGCTCTGTTTCAGTTAATTTGCGTCTCATCCATTTCTAACTAGGTACGCTTGACTTGTTTTATAGGTATTCACTTACAATGGTTTTAGTTTAGTTCAATAAAATTAACAACATATAATAACAACATATGCAAAAACAACATTACAAGACAGACATGTAAATTAAAGGTACAATATAACATTACAGGACTGAAATGTCAATTAAAGGTGCAAAGTACCGTAACTTTTGAGGAATATCCATCGAGGGGAGGTATTACATCTGTCAATATCAATTTTAGACGTATATTAGGCCTATGTATTATCAATTTGCGTATCTCGCATCTTAGTATTGTTCCGGGTCCATTGATTGAAGCATCATTCGGTGTCACGGCCTAATTGTTATTCTCCATTTACATTACTCAAGACAGGATACCGGAAGCTCTTTTTCCCAACTCATCGAAAAATCTTGTGCTGCGCATGTCAATAATAACTAAAGCCGCAAAGCACAGTAGTTATAACAAGCTGTGGAATACGGGTTATAGAGCAACGTCCTTCAGAAGAGGCATTCAGCTGCTGGTCATATGTACATATTAGCCGAACGTTGGACAAGGCCTATCTTCGAAAAAAAATCATCTTTAAGCAAGCTTGTTCAGGTGCTAAATCCAATATGATCAGGTTATTTCGCAATCTTCATGCTCTATGCTCTGTTTCAGTTAATTTGCGTCTCATCCATTTCTAATTAGGTACGCTTGACTTGTTTTATATTTAGGGGCCTACTTACAATGGTTTTAGTTTAGCTTAATAGTTCAATCAAATTAACAACATATAATAACAACATATGCAAAAACAACATTACAACACAGACATGTAAATTAAAGGTACAAAATAACATTACAGCACTGAAATGTAAATTAAAGGTACAAAGTAACTTTTGAGGAATGTATCCATTGAGGGAGGTATTACATCTTAAATTTCTTCCACATCCATTTTAGAGGTATATTAGGCCTATGTATGTGAAGAGGCCTTGTAAAGGCATGAAGCGCTATATAAGAACGACATATTATTATTATTATTATTGTTATTGTTATTGTTATTGTTATTGTTATTATTATTATTATTATTATTATTATTATTATTATTATTATTATTATTATTATTATTATGTATTATCAATGTGCGTATCTCATATCTTATTATTGTTCCGGGTCTACATTCATTGATTGAAGCATCATCCGGTGTCACGGCCTAATGACCAGTGGTCCCTGGGGTGGGGAAGTGTTGGGGCTCAGTAAAGTGCAAGTTAAGTATCCAGGAGAGCACCCTCCAGCGAGAGAGCTGGATTAAGCGGAAATAATAATACACGAGAAAAATGCATTCTGGGATAATGATGTACTATAATATGAAATACACCATGTAAAAATACGATATTAAAGTTGAACTTTGAGTCAGGAGATATTCCTATGCTGGCTAAAATCGATCTTTGCAGAACGTGCTCATGTAGGTAAAGAGATGCGTCATAATTGTAACCTTACTAAGGAATTGTACTTTAAATTTAATTATTTATAAAATATACACCGGCAAGGGGAAAGGCATCTAAAACCCCACGGTTACAATGTCATTTCAAACGTTTAGGCCTATTTATTTGTTATTCTCCATTTACATTGTTCAAGACAGGATACCGGATGCTATTTTCCCAACTTATCGAAAAATCGTGTGCTGCGCATGCCTATAATTCTTAAAGCCGCAAAGCGCAGTATGTTAACAAGCTGTGAAATACGGGTTATAGAGCAACGTCCTTCAGAAAAGACATTCAGCTGCTGGTCACATGTCCCATATTAGCCGAACTCAGTACAAGGCCTATCTCCGGGAAAAGTAAAAAAAAAAAAAAAGCACAATTCTCTCCAAGTACAGAGGTGGCTTTAAACTGCTGTGGGTTCCTCCATGGACAACCTTTTTTGTTACAAGGAACAATAACTTACTCACAAAGGACTTAATTTACTATTCGCAGGCAATTTTACTGTACACAAAATAGCAAATGTTATTTGATGCGAAATAAGAGCAATGCTTGAAATTGAATAATGTTCTGAGAATTTATAGGATATTTGTCTTGTGCCCTTTATACCAAAATATGATATGCTGTGTAAGTATTTAGTGCATTCCAGAAATTTCAATCATGGATTTATTGTGGCGGCAAAAACAGTGTTGACTTGTATATAACTTGACGTTATTTTAACTGCGCCATCATTTTAGGTCACTGTGTGTTAACTAATATGGTACAACATAAAGTTAAAAGGATAAAGAAAAAAACTCAAATAACCAAGAATAATACACTAAGTAGAAAACAATGAAGAATTGTATTAATTAAATGGTTGTCATATCACTTACAAAATGTGCATAACATTATTCTGTGATGATTGAAATGAACTAAAGGTGAGATTGACCGACGAATGAGACAACATTATATTACTTCTCAGCTTTTGTTAATTTTCAATACTGAATATATTTAAGGAAGCCAATGCACAGCTTCACATTCAAGGACGACTATAATCATATACTTACAATACGTTGCAGGCCTACTAAGCGCATTATTATTAATTCTATTCACTTCAAAGTCATTTAAAGAAGTAGCTACCTCGTTGCTTAGACGATAATACTATCAAGTCCATTTCATATCATAATATGCAACCAAACACAATGAACTTTAACCCTTTTTAAGATATAGATGTGATTTAAACAAAAAAAATATATATATAAATGTGAATGTTTTTAGATATTCCTAAAACATATAATAAACTGATGACCTTCCTTATGGTTCAGCACTAAGAAATTGTTGGTACACATTATTGGTAAAAGAAATCCATGCATGGAGTATTGAAGGTTGTCAAAAACAAATCAACATAATTATTTCAGATACAATTTATTTTTTTTGTTTTGTTTTAAAAGATCGATGTTCTTTTACTGAGTTGCCTCTTCAGTAAAATATTTTGCACAGTACGCTAAAAAAAAAAATCGACTCGCCATAAAAAAAACAAAAAAACAAAACAAAAAAAACAAAACAAAAACAAAAAAACAAACCAATAATGAAATCACATTAAAATGTGTAAGACTGTTGACTCATTTAGAGGAAACAAACAAGTTCATGGAAAGAATAATCCCACACCAATTTAATAAGGATATTGTGGTCAGAAAATACCGACGGATTGCCAAATTTGTTTATACGTCAATTAGTATAAACCCTGTCTCTTATACACATCTAGATGTGTATAAGAGACAGCGGTTATACCCAGCGAGCAAAGTGTAGCTTTAGCCTCTGGTGTCAATGAAGTATACGGCTTCTTTGAGAATTTGTTGTCACTGAATTTTCCAAAACCAAGTTGCTGGATTTTCTCTAAGAATTCCACAGCGTTTGCTGTCGGATACGCAGTTTTGTGTTTATCTGACGATGACCCTGTTTTTGGTTTCGCAGGTGGAATCAAGTGTCTGGCAGCAATCATATATGAATTGTAGGGTGTATTGACTGCTAGTCGTGTCAAAAGGTTGCATACTTTCTTGGAATGATTTTTGAGGATGTCACCAAAGACATCAGCTTGGTCTGCGGTTGTTTGTTGTGTGTCCTTATTGATTGGCGGCATTAATGCAAACTTGTGCCTGATGCATAATTCTATTGTGGCAATCGCATGTTTGATCGTGGAGAGTTGTATTACAACATCATTGTTTGGAGTACCCCACGGGGTACTTGGCATAGGTGTGTTGTACTGTAGCTCAGCTTGGCACAATGCGATAGCATCAAATAAGGCCTGATACACCATAGCCAGTCTTGCAGATTGACCTTGGGATTTGGCAAGAACACCCTTGTGATCCTCGAACCTGTCCATCTGTTAGTAAGGATAAGTATAAGATTTTTTAAATTTATTTATTTATTAATTTATTTTTTTTAGTAAGGCCATTAAAAAAAAATTGTTATGTTGGCATAACGGGTCCCAAAAAATAGGGTAGGTAGGTCGGTAGGGATATTTTGTTTTATTTTTTCTTTTTTTTTTTGGATCATAAATAATAATCATTCAAGGACCTTGAAATTTATAAAAAAAGATAAATTGAATAGGCCTCTAAAGCCTGTAATTGTCAAACATTTTGCCCTTAGACTACTTTTAAAACATTTTGAGTGATGCCTGACCATGCTCACTTAAGCTCATGTAAAGAACTTGTATCATAAAATTTAAATAAAATGGCTAGGGTCGGGCTATTGTTTTAGGGTAGGTCCGGCGATGCCAACAATTTTTTTTTTATGGCCTAATGATTAAGCAAAAACCTGTTGACAGTTGCTTTGACTAAGTTTTGGCTAGTGCATGTACATGTTTGAAAATAATAATTTTTTAGTTTGTGTATGTAAACTTTCATTTAAAATTACAATCATAGAATTCGCTAGGCTAGCCCTAAGATATGATGTACTTAAATTGTACAAGGCGAAATCAAGGCATGTGTGAATGTATTTATGATTTTATGTATTTATTAATATGGTAATGGTAATGGTTAATGATTTGTATAGCACATAATTTTTGTCTCTATGCGTCTCTATCTAATATTGATAAATATATTTCAATGAGTATTATATAATTGTCAGTTGGTTTCTGCTTGTTTCCTATGCTCAGAACAGCTGGAAATACATTGAATTCCTGATTAGCTTGAGATGAAATTTCAATACCTTTCTAATAATAATAATAATAATAATAATAATAATAATAATGAGACATTAATAATTATTAATAATAATAATAATAATAATAATAATAATTATTATTATTATTATTATTGTTATTATTATTGGTTTTAATAAATAGATAAATATCAATATATATTATAATTATTGAGATACTTGCAATATTGACACAATAAATCATACCTCATTCATTCTTTCTTCGATGTTGTCATAAAATTTGGCATAGCAGTTTGTTGCCTCTTCATTAAATTTATAGGTCCTGCCGTGTGCATGTTCATTCCTAATTTTGAGTAGGATTTCTCCCAAACTTAGTGTATCTTCATCTGGTTGCCTCATGTCCTTGAATAGTACAAGTTTCCTTTTGACACACAAAATGGCCATGTGTCGATCATTGAATCCGTCGAAGTCAAATTGGTTGAGCATGTGGATTGCTATGGTAGGCTGCATGAAACCTGATTGAGAAGATATGGAAATTCCACCAAATGTAATAATTGATTATTGGCAAAATTATTCAGCAATTGGAGAGTAACATGTGTTTTTTGGAATGTTTGAATTAATGTGGTATGATGATAAACTGTGGATTGGACAGTCAGTGAATTCTTGTTTTTTGATAGTGTCATACAGTCCTTTATACTGAATAACAACTTGTGTGTTGTCCAGCTAGATTTGACAGGCACTGATTATGGATATCTACATTAAAAACCATGTCATTATTATGTTATACATTTGTATATCAAAATAATGTTTTTACCTGTATAATTAAACATTGTTTTAGCCATAGCCTGATGGCCACTGTTCTGTGAGGCTCTGCTCCAGGCATCTCCACCATTAAGTGACAAAAGGATTTTGCGATCAGATTGACTGCCATTTGCTCCATGTTCTAATTGCTCATATAGAGAAGCTATCTCATCGTACACAAGCAAGGCTTCTCCACGATTTTCTTTCATCTGGAAAAGAATTTAATGTTTTACAGGTATGATGTAGTATTATAGTGTGGTATATTTGTGATAAGTGTTTGTAATGTTGATTTTTTGGTTATTTTTTAATTGGGATACTGTTGCTGATATTGTGTTTGAAATGAAAGCCTAATTGATGTCAACAAATTCTTAATTTAAACTATTTTGTAATTACAGTAGTTGGTATTTTTTAATGTTTTTTTTTGGTATCTTAAGTTTGTTGATATTATGATAATAGAAAGAAGTTGTTCTTTGAATTTAAATTGAAAAGAATTTAATGTTACTTACCACCTCATGTAATTTGTGAAATGTGAATTGGGTGTTGGTCATGAACAACACCTTTTCCTGTTTGCTTTTGTCACTTGGAGTAGTTTTATCATTTGGAGTACTTTCTGGAGTATCACTCTCTTGCTTAGCTACCATGGTTAAGGCATCAATTATCAGCTTTAAGGCTGCAGATTTCTTCTCTCCTGAAATGAAGGCATTGAGGATTTAGTGCTCTCCTATGCACTGGTTATAGTACATCTACATTTAGGAGGAAGTGATACAATGTTATGCAAAGCCTATTAAGCTTATGTGGAATGATGCACATAATCATTATAAATTTAAATAATGACCTTTTTTTTGTCCTGGCCTATTTTGTAAACTTTAATGCTGTTGTAAAAATATTAAAATATTAAAGTAATCATTGATATTTTGAATATGACAGAAGTTGGAACTCTTGATAATATTCTTTATTACAATTGTTTGGCTAAGGCTTTTTTTAATTAATCATTGTATGAGGAATTTAAATTCTCTACCACCCTGTGAAAAGGGCCTGTAATGTTCATGACATAAATTGATGTCCCGTACTTTCTTAATCATTTTGCTTTCATAAATGTATTTTTTATTTATTTATTTTTTATTTTTTTGCAATAATTAATTGTAATTTGGTAAAAGCTGGAGGTACATTGTATATTGTTTTGTTATTCCTACATAGAGGGAGATACAATTTTTAAATACGTATGAATTTGATTGATCAATTTTTTTTTTAATGGTACATAGACCTGGCCTACTAATGGTTATGTAGGTAACTGAACTGTCATATTCTATGTGCTATTTTCAGAAAACATAAAAGGAAGCATTTATTACCTTTGCGAGCTGCCAAAATGGTCCATATAATGGGGGGTTCAGACCAGCTTGGTCGAATTTGTACCACTGTGTCAATGTGCATCATTGCACTGGCAACTGTCAGGAAAGGAAAGAAAAGAAACTCTGGTGGTGCACCAATAGATGTAGCCCATTCCTTGAAGATTGAAGATACATCAGATGGGCATATTTTATCCCATTCTGTTTCTATGCAATTGGCATCATGTTGGCGTTTCTCAATTGTAGACTGTTCAATACCTCTGTATGAGGATTTCAGGCTGCGAAGAGCTGCATTCATTTCACTGTAAGCACTTGGTAATCGTTTGAAAGTCGGTTTTATAGGAAGGTGATTGAATACAATGTTGAACATTTCTTTATAGTTAGATAAGACACACCTACTATTAAATTTCATATGTTCTTTGATGTTTCATTGGTCCTTTTAAGAATTGTTATGTAATACTTAGTTATGTAACACTTAAAGCATCTTAAAGTAAGTTGTTGATGTCCAGATGTAAATGCAAAAGAGAAGTAAGATCAACAGATTCTTGTCTCCAGTGTTATGTGTAGGTAATGTTATTAACCTCCATGGATGGTGTCACTAAACTCTACCAGGCAATTGTTACATAATGGTCTAGACTAACCAGATGTGAAATATGTTAGGAAATCAGAACAATACATAATATGATAGTGCTTTGATAGATATTTTACACTCTCAGCAGGTTAAAGCAAGGAGGTATTAAATAAGCTTATTTAATACCTCCTTGGTTAAAGCAACAGTGTGTCTACATGTCCAATTCTGTAATTGTCCAAATATGTTGTTATGCTATGCTGTACACACTGAAGTTATTGGGACAGTTGAGGCAGTCTGTTTGTTATTGTTGTCCTATCTT